GAGCCTGGTTACTTGTGCCTTATTCATACCCAATACTGAATATGCCACTTCCAGCTCACAAGAGATTTCAGCAGGGCCCTCCTACTTTATGGCTCAGCAGAGCTTATGATGAGGCTAGAAAGGGCATGGAAATTGTGGCACAGACTTTCTCTAGGTATTACATGCACTTCCCCTTCCCTTTCTCATTCATGTCCCTTTTTCAATAAAATGTCAAGTTCTATGCAATGTTTTCCTGTGCTTGGTCTTCCATAGCTTATGAGGAATTCACAGCAGGAAGACCTTACAAGGCAGGCTGCTTGCTATTTCTCGTTATCTATTCACTGATGTCTTCAAGAAGCAAAAAAGCAGAACTCCAGGGCAGCTGATGATGATGCTGGCTGCTCCTCCTAGTCTATCACCTCAAGAGGAGCTGTCAAAATAACAAATGACATATTTTTAAGCCACAATTACCCCAGAGCTAGGCTCTCTCGGTTTGATTAGCAGCTACTTCTCCTCTTGGTGTTTTTCTTCATCACCTTCTTCTTCTTTTCATTTTCTTCCACTGCCCCTTTCATCAATAAAGATCATGACTTTAAGGAAAATGCTTCTTCTCTGGGAAGTACTTACCAGTACCCTATTACAATCAGATTGTCTCGTTCAGAAGCAGGTGGTATTACCTGTCAACAGAGCTTGGAGAATAGCAAATGGCCACCACCCAACTCAGCTGAGCTACCCCCTGGCTCCTGGGCAGATAAAGTGGCAAAAGGAGAGAGCTTTTTGGAGGCCTCGAAATCTCATTTTCATTCCCCTTGCAAAGAAGGGACTGGCATTATTGACCAGGACGACTGAAAATTGCTTGAGCATTCCAATAACCAATCTGCATTGAAGCAGAGAGACAGTCTGGAGGAGGCGAGCTCCCTGCTCCATCACGCAGCCCTGCTGAGCCGTGTTTTGCTGCAGCACAAGCCTGTGGCATATGCAGACCAGACTTAAAGGAGCCTCCTGCAGTCCTCCAAAGCAGCCCCTCTCCACCTCCACTCCCAGCCTGCCATAGGGTTCCTTGATCCCAACCATAAATCAACATGTGCTCAGGGAATCTCTGCCAGAAGGGGTCAGGACTGGGTCAGAAGGACCATGCAAACCGCCCACTTCTCACTGGAGTGCTCTGTGGCCTGACTGCACATCCCAGAGAGGCCACTAGATGTCACCATCACTGAGTCTCATCAGAGCAAACGCATACTAAATGGAACTCTAGATTGGGCTCCATCCCAACCTTGAGGCCAGGGCTCCTGTAAGTTCTGTGACTGCCTGAGCTCCTTGGGGTCCTTTTCAAAACCAGTTAGCATGTCAGATCCAGAACAGCTGAGCTGAAACGTACACAAGAAGAGTGTCAGCTAGAGCAACCTTAATTCTCACAATCAGGCGCCCTACTCTTTCTCCTCTCAGTCTTTGTCACAGACAGTTATCATGTATTCTGGTTTATTTGGACCCTCAACAAGAAATAAATTAATATGTGCACGTCGTAGCACCAGAGATTTTAAATGTCTATGTGCTGCTGAGATAACACAGGTCTGTGGCTTTTAGCAGAGAATGAATGACAGATGGATAATGTGATGATTCTTGAGAACTGAACTAGAATCATGAAGTATTTCTAGGTGTATATTCAAGATGCAAAGTGTACAGAATCCAGAGCTAATGTTAATTTATTGCTGACAGCTGTATATATAATAATATGTCATGTCTTTTAATCTTACATTCCTTCTGACTTACATCAAGCAGACTTTTCATTCATTAATAAAATCAAGTCTTGCCATTATTCTTAATGATGAAATCCATTTCCAGCCTGGAGGGCTCCTATAATTAAACTCCATATTTCTACATACTAGACACCTGAAGCTCAGGGGAAAAAAAGGATACACTGAATTTCTTGTTGTATAAGCAAGGTGAAAATGTCAGAAAGATGGGACCCACCTGCTCATAGTCCCATTGGATCTACATTGCAAAGTATGGAATATTTTTTCAGTTTATTTTCTCAGCTCACAGTACTGTGTCCTTTTTCCTTTTACCTCTCTCCTCCTCCTCTCGCCCTTCCTTGATGTTTCCTTGTTTGTTTGTTTTTGGTTTTGATACTGGGGATCAAACTCGGGTCCTTGCACTTCCGAGGCAGATGGCAGAACCACTGAGCTAAATCCCCAGCCCGTGATCTTTCCTTTTTTGAGGCAGAATACTTTTTAAGGTCATGATAAAAGTCATAGCTAAAAGAAAAACAGGAAAACAGGCCACATATCTTGTCCAATATTCTGCACTGTGCCAAAGACTTACATGATTAATCCTTTCAAAAGAGAAATCTAGGCTAAGCTTACTACCACAAAGTCAAGGTGTCCTCCATAAGTATCATGGCTGGAAACAAAGGTCTTCTTCAAGTTTCAACTGTGTCTCACTCCATTTCTAGCCAGTCATCACTTTACAAAGTCATACACTTACTGTACTATCCTAAGAGTTCCTAAAATTTAAACAGTGCCCTGGTTTAAGTTGGAAAGCACTATGTATCATGAGAGTCCCTGGCCACTTTAGGAGATACAGACCCATGATACTTATAGAAGAAGGGAAAGCTTTATCAACTAATTAATGACTCTAAAGCAGAATAACGAGGTGTGTAGAGACGGGTTCAGTTATCTAGGTCATCTCTCATCTGGAAATAGAATCAGATTCCACCAGAAAGGTGCTAGAGAATGGAGTAAGCAAGTTTCCTATCTGTAACACTAAATCTTACTATGATTGGTTAATTAAATCATGATAAATAACATTCTGTGGCAAGTAGAAGGTGCTGAGAAGAGTTTAGATGAGATGTCCACAAGTTCAGTGGAATTCCTCCTGAATGACTTTATATTCCTCCAACTAAAAAATGTTTACTTTGATTTCCTGGAAAGTTTTTTATAGGAAAAATACTGAGATATTTGTGTCAAAGTCATTTTGAAATCGTCTACGTTTTTTGAGATTGTACATCGTATGCCTTCTCTCCTAATTTTTCCATTTCTTCTTTTCTGCCTGTAATGTGTACTCCTACTGGTATCACACTACGCTTCCAGGTAGGGAAGAGGGTAACAGTAGAAATGCTGTATTGTTGTACCACACAGCTCCAAAGACTCACAGACTTGTTCACTAGAAAGATCTATGGTGGGTCAGCTAAGGGTTCGGTACCTCCATCACTCTAAGACAGGGTGGCCACTATTTCCAACATGGCAGTCATCAATCCAGGGAAAGAATACTCTAGAGGGAAACACACAGGCAATAAAAACTTCAGTCTGGGAGTGATGACCCTCTCCTTTACATATAATTAATTAGCCCATACCCATCACAAACCACACCCATGAGCCACAAGAGGACCAAGAAGTTAAGTTCCACCTAACTATGTGGGAAAAGAAACAAAATAGCTGGTAAATACAGGAATGAACACGGGAAATTCAAAGATATGTTTACTTTCTTCTGCTTGTTTTAGAATTCCCTTGTTTTACCTAAATTATATTTTCTCTACCTTTTTATCTATATCATAAATAATTATTATTTTATTATTATGGTGTTAGGGATCAAACACAAGGCGTGGCACATGCTAAGCGAGCACTCTGCAGTGAGTGATGCCCCTGCTCTCTCCCCTGACCAAATAACTTTCTGATTTCTGTTGTGGCTACTTTCAGATAACTTAAGACATTACTCAAGAAAAGCCTCTCTTCAGGTAGTTATAAACTAATCTTGGTTTTGCCAGTAGCCCAAGGGGAGGAAAGAAATTTTCATATTAATTGTTTTTACTCTCACCTTCCTGTATTTCTGGTTGTCCTTGGTTATTTTTTTTCCCCTCCCACTCAAACATGCTGATCTCCACCTTCAGCTCTTATCCTTTTTGAAAGCAATTACTGGCCCTTTGTTTTCATTTCTTCTTAAGCTATTTGGTCCGACTGGTAAAGGATTCTGCAGAATAGCAGAATTCTAACTTTCTTGATTTCTCAACACCCAAATTCATGCGAATTTGTATCCTGAGATATGTAAGTAAAATCATAGCCCTGTCTCAATAAGTGACAATAAATTTTGTTATTTTGCATATTTTGGATCTTCCACTTAAAAGCAGACAATCCAATCCCCTTATAAAGGGCCCTAAATATACTGGACAGATACAAAAAGTAACTTCACCAAACCAGTCAGTCCACTGCTATGACCAGAATCTTCAGTTTGCCTTCGTTGCTCCTATCTTCCACCCATCTACTAAGTTGAACGCGAGTACTAAGCTGTGTAGTTCCTAATATACCAAAACTGCCCAGTACTCTTTGTGACGCCGGGTGGAATTCACTCGCTTTGCACAGCACCAAGTTATCCAGGAACGAACAGCTCCAAATGTCAAACACTACGTTGCCCTCCGATGATTGAGGTTTTGTGTTATTGTTCCCTTAAGAGCCTCTCAGGCTGAAATATTTTCCCAAGCCGCCCTGAATAAAAACTATGAATCTAGCTAGGGCATCTACATTTTTACCAAGAGCATAGCAAAAACTGCAGCTCAATCAGAACAAATTACATCAATGCACACAGGAATGACAAGAATCTCAGTGATCATTATTGAGAGCCAATTATGAAGATGGCTGTGTTAACGAATTAACCCACAACAAATTCAGGCGACGTGGGGAGACTCCAGAGTGAACAGTTACTGACTTCTAGACCTAGATGACACAGGACAGAGCAATACTGTATCCTGGCCCTGGCCCGGAAGTCTGGATAACTCCGCCGGAAGCCCGCCAGGGCTGGCGACTACAGCGCACTAGCTACACATTTTGCTCTCGCCCGCCCTGCCCCAGCTGTCCGGGATGCCTGTGGGCGTGGCCAAGGGAATTGCCCCGCCCCTACCGCCCGCCACTCGGGTCACCTGACCTGCCCGTGGCTCACGTGACTGTTCCTTGAGCCGCCATCTTGGAGCTCCGGATGAGGAGGGGGAAAGCGGGGGGAAAAGAGGGAAAGGATCCGGGAGAGAGGTGGGCGAGGACGAGGGCGAGTACACGGCAAGGTCCTGGCCGGCCAAAAGAGGCTAGCGGAAGCAGCAGCCGCCGCCCGACCGCAGGTACCGCGCCCCGGGGCCGCCCCTTCTTTTGCTGTGAGCGCCGCCGGCCATGTGCATCTTTTCCCTCAGGCCTCAACCGGCGCCCGGTTCCTCCTCAGACTGCGGACACCCTCCTGGTGCTCGCTACACGCCCCAGGTTCCTTGTCTCCTTTCAATCCGCTGTGCCTTTCAGGGCAAGGTTGTGGAGACTCCGAGCTTGCCCAGCTGCTAAGGGGTGGGGGAACCTGCCGCTCCCCACACACTGTCACTAGTCCGGTCCCCGACCAGGCTTGCCAAAGGCGTATCTTCCTTCCCGTCTGCAGTTGTGAATCGTTCAGGCCAGTCAGGATAGACCTAACAACAATATTCACTGCCCACCTCTTGATTACTTTCCTCAACGCCCATCGGCTTGGCCCTTTAGTCACTACTTGGTATAGAAGCTGGTACAGAAAAGCAGTCCTGGTCTTACTCACACTTCATCATCCTCTCTAATGAAATGATTTCGCCAGAGATCACGGACCAGTGAGGGCGTCTCGAGGGAATGGTTTGTGTGGAAGGCCCGGATGATTAGGCAGAGGCAACCTTCCCAAACCCGAAAGTGGTCGGTGTTTCAAGTTTCTACAGTGAGCTGTAATTAGTGCTATCAGTCTGTATCGCTGTTATCAGGCAATTCCGGTTTTATCACCACCTTGAGTTTGTACTTTCTAAAGCACTCCACTTTGTGTTGATTGAAAGAGAAAGTCTGGCCTTTCATTTCTTTACTGCAGTAACTGGTTGAAAATTAACTTCAGAGGAGGCCCAATGACTTGCTTTCAGCCCTGCCAGTAAACTATTTTATTTAACCATAACTGGTAAGTTGTTTTCTAGTGAAAAGAATGAATGTTCTTTTGATCTTTTAAACGCATTCTTGGCTAGTATAAGAAATGGTAGCAAAGAAATGTAGGACCAGGGCAGGAAACTGCATTAGGAGATATATAGGTCAAGTCACTGTCCTATTTTTTTCATAATGCTGGTTCTGCCCACTATGCTTGTAAAATTTCATAATCACTCTTTAAATTGTATTTTTGATTAAGAAAATAGCAATATGTAATTTACTGTTCCATCGTCATTAGAAAATGTCAGTTAAAACCTACAGTGTATTGAGCGAGTTACATACATTCTGAGGTAAAAGGAAATACACAATTATTAGAAATTTCCAGAGCTATTTTTTCCTAAAATCTTAAAAATCCTCTGGTCTACTTGTTAGATAAATTATGTGAATTTATATCACACAATTACATTGCATGAATATTCTTCTGAATTTCTTTTTGATATGAAGTATTGGAGTTTTTCACTGCCCAAATGAATCATTACTTTGTTTCACCAAAAAGAGAAATGTTTGATACTGTATACTTTCGTTCTTGGCCACAGCTGGATTTTGAAGATTGATCCAAGGGACTGTATTAATTTCAGGAATTGGTTTGAAAGACACTGGCTCTGCCATTTAACAGCCATGTAACCTTGGGTAAGTCACTTAAACCTCCCTGAGTTTCCTTATTTGTAGGATTGTATAACACCACCTAGCAGATCCCAGAGAGTTATGGGGATCAAATATGCTGACATATTTTATACAGCTTAAGTGTAAAGGGCTGTTAGTCTTTTCAGGATGTTCTTGTTCTCACTGAGAATTGACAGGAAAATTGGCATATTATAGAAAGCATCGTTTTAGAATCAGATTGGTTAGATTGCAGTTCTTTAACTGCTTTATATCCTTGACTCTCAGATGTACTACTTTGTATCTGTGATACTTTGTATCTCACCAGCAAAAGAGAGGCTACTATTACCAGGAAGTACATGAGTATTTTACAAAGTCTACTCAAGCAGCGGTTCCCTGGACTTGCATCTCAAGGGCAAGGATTTCCTCTTCCTCATTTTTGTAGTCTGTTAACGCTGTGCTTGGCACATTATAGGTGTGCAATAAATTACAGTAAATCTGAATATTAGTTAATATTAGTTAGCCCTTATGTCTTAACTGCAACTGCCAAATTAAAATATTCTTGGGCTAGTTGCCAGCTAAGAAATTCTAGGCTATGAAGTTCATACACTTGTGATATTTATACTTTTTTCTTAGTGGCAATTAATAATTACATTGAATTAAGGATATTTTATATCAGATGAATTACAGCTGAATTTAGCTTAGTCTAAGCAGTTTCCAAATAACTTTATGTAGACATTTTGTAATTTAGGGACCGGAAAGTTTACCCATTCCCACCCTCTCAATTTTAATCTAATGAACCTAAAATCCACAGAGGTAGTGACTTGCCTAAGGTCACACAGCTAACTGAGAGTGCTTTAGGGGGGAGATCTATGAGCTTTTGTACTTTATCTTTTTGGGGGCGTGTGAGAAAAATGTTTTGTATTTTTGAAGTGTGAGAATCTGGGGAAATAGAGAATTAATTGGCCATTACTTCTGTTGAACAATTTTTCTTCTAGTTGAAAAAGAACAAATCTTTCATGTAAAACAGAGGGTTTTTTTAATCATATTATTCTGTCTTTGTATATACACAGAAAAATTACAGTGTTTCTCAGGGCCCACGTGAATTGATCCACTTGATAACACAAGTAAACCAAATACCAAATTATAAGGAAATAAAGGCAACTGAAATAATTTGGCTCTTAACTTTTCTTGGGAAAGACATTAATTAGAAGCTTTTGCCAGAGTATTACTGTTGTCAAGGAAAGATTTAAGAGAGGCAATGGAAACGGTTATAGAACTTTGCTGGTTTGGGAAACAACTTTTGTTTATTTCTTTGTAATAGTTTGATCTAATGTTACATCTAATGATTCCAAACAAAAAATCTCTTGTTTCACTCTTGCCTCTTGTCTTCTGTCTTTCTATTGAACTCTCCTATTCATCCATTTTGATCTTTTCCCTGACCTCTAAATAGCATGTTTATTCTCACTCACATGAATGTAACGATGTTATGGCAGCCTTTCCTGTGATTTTGCCTTTGTATCAAAGTGTAAGAAAAGTATTCCAAAGAAGCAGTTGGCACACTCATGTTAGGATAATTCAAGAAGAGTATATTTACAGAATTACTGTTACAAAGGTTTTGGATTTGTATAGGTGGAGCATGGGGAAATGCAATTAGCATCTAGCGGTATTAGGAGAAAGAAAATGTGCCAGAACCAGAAGAGTCTTATCGAACAGCCTGTCTGGAAAGAAGTGGCCCTCTTTTGAGGAACACAGCCGGTCCAACATGACCTAGAGGTAAAGTGATCATGAATATCTTGTTCTCAGTCTGCCATTTCCCTCTGATCTGTAATGGCTCTCCATTGGCAGATCTTAACCAGGTGCCAGGGGACCCTAATGATATCATCCCTCCTGGTACCAAGAGCAGAAAGGAAAGATTCAGGGAGGCTAAAGGGCAAATGGATGATGTCTGGAATGCCACAGTCCTTTGGGGTCCAGTGTACAGCCTACCTCTTTCCTTACTTTCTTAACCCAAGGAAGCTCTTCAGTCTCGAAGAGGATTTGACCATTGACTCTTGCCTTCTTATGATTTTACTTTGTGTATTAGTTATTCCATTATTCAAAAACTGTTCAGTCTTTTTAGCTTCTAAATGTTTATCTTGTCCACTCAATTTGGTTTGTAGGTATTGGTGCTATGAATTTAAAATGTTTGCATTCTTCCTGCTACTTTCTTGGTGCCTTGTACATAACTTTTTTTTTTTTTTTGTAATTTTATTATGAAAAACTTAACATTTACACAAGTACAACAGTAGAATGAATTTCTAGGTTCTCATGAAATTTCATCTCTTTTTCAAATAAGTTCTTCCCTTGACATATGTGTGTATATATATGATTACATATATTATGTGTAGATTATATATAATGTATAGATATATGTATATCATATAGAAGATTGCATGAATAATGCCCCCCCTCAGTCTATATTTTCATATGAGCTGTTTGCTTAACCTTTTTTAACAGACGCTTTTGTTTTCATGAGTTTTGACTTGTGCATTGATTTTGCATGTGGACCAAACTGGTTTTTCAGGTGTTTCTTAGTATATTTTATGTTGTCATATCTGTTTTATAGCTGCCATTACTGTACTTATCCCCAAATGTATGCAGCCTCTAAAATGAGATACTTACATAAATGTTCAGGGAAAATTGGAGCATCTGCTGCAAATTTCCATTAGTTCCTAATGCCTGAGCAGGCACAGCTTTAAAATGTGAGTGTTTTGTCAGATTCTTTTGTATTAGTCTTTTTCTTGAGATAAGATGAACTCCTCCCCCTTCTATTCATTTCTCTTTCTTCTTCTTTAAGGAACACACTGAAATATCCACAGGGAGTACTTTCACTGCGCTGTCTCTTTCCTATTACATCATTAAATGGAAGAGAGATAACATGAATCACCTTTGTAACCCTGAGGATGTGCAAAGTCTGTTGAGCAAACATTCACCATTAACCTCCAGGTTATCAATCAGCCACATATGGATGTTATACTTCATGCAGGAAGAGACCTTAGATCCACACTGGAGAACCATAGCTTTTTCAAGAAAGTGAATGGGGATTCCTATTACTAAACTTACTATTTAACTAATTTACATTTAACAACTGAACTGAAAGAAATGGAGCCTTAAGTTAATGGCCCTAAAGGGAAGTCACATAAAGAGCCACAGCTCCCCTTGACCTAAAAGTGTGGAATTCTAAAGCAGTAAATTTAGGAAGTGACACAAAGGTTTTTTCCAAAGAAACAAATTGTTCACTCTTGACCTCTTTAGTGACTTGAGGTTGAGTGTAGAAATCTAAAAAGACTTTTGTTCTTTCTGAGAAAGACGAAAAGAAACTAATTTTTTAAAAAGTGGTTTGAAGAGAGAATGGCTGAAGGACCCCTAGCCTTTGAGAACTAGGATAGCAGCAGCATTGTAGTAGTTATAGAACACACTCCCTGCCATAAGGACAAATAAGGGACATGCCCCAGAAAAGAGAACAAAGCTCATCTAATGGGACAAAGTATTAGGGAAGAGGGAATAATTAATACTAAAGAAGCCAAGAGTAAAATGTTTACATTTTTGCCTGGTGTCGACCAAGATACGAATAGCTGGTATGCCAGAAAGAGGAGAAAATAAGAGGGAAAGTTGTAATTGCTGCCAAGAGATGATACAGGTTATCTAGCACTGAAGCAGGTTTGAGTGCTGGTGGAGTCCAGCAGGATGGTTTAAGTCTGATCATATAAGGGAGGGCCCTTATATGTTTATTCAGCTATGTGGGGTGGAGGAGCCATGAGTCACCATCTAAAATAAAAATTCAGAGCCTCTAATGAAGTTTCAGAATAGTATGGTCTTTGGTCTATAGCTAGTGCCACTAAAAATTCTGTTGGCTTTTATTGAATGTTGTGAGTAAGATTCCAGAATGCACCTCAAATGTGGAAAAACAAAACTCGTTGCTGGAAAAAAGCCTAAACTTAAAAATGTGATCCAAGTCAACAAATTAATCTCACTTTAAGCCAAACGAAATGTTTGAAATGAAAGTGCTGCCAGGAAATATAAAGAGTATTCAAGACTTAGGAGAAAAATTTATGAGTATTTTATATTTGGTGACTTTCATGGCAGTAATGCATTAGTAGAACCTACAGATAACCCCTTCTAAGGGTTCTCTTCATTTCAGGACCTGAAACACAATGGGAATATCAACTTTTTCCTTCTCTGATGCACCTTACCCTTTCAGAAAAAAGAAATATATGTGGGTATGAGTAATAGTTAACCACTAATATAACTTCTAGAAGAAAACCACAGCATAGTTTGTGGTTTATTTTCAGGAAGACAAACCAAAGGAAGTAAAAGAAGGAACTGGGTCATTGCTTTTATTCAGTTTCATTTGGATGTACATCTGGAATATAATAGATTACATGACTGTATTTTCACAATTGCAAAAATTTGGGGAGGAAAACAATTTTGTGATTTGAGTAATCTGCAGTTGTGCTTTTGTGTAAGAAGTACTTTCTCAGGAATATTATCAGGGCTGGGGGAGTGGCTAGTGGGACAAGCTTGCCTAGCATGCATGAAGCCCTTGCCTCAGTGCCCGGCATTGCAAAACGAACAAACAAAAAGAATTGTATCATATCATATTGGCTTTACATGATGTTCCACAGTAACATGAATCCTGAGAATAGCTATGTTTCTTTAAATCAAGGAATAGAAGTTTTGTTGTTTGTTTTTGTCATTCTACAAAAAGAGAGTAACATTTGGGTCCAACTAGATGTTAAGAGCAAAGGCAGTGATGAAAAATGGTAATTTTTCATTTTCAAAGAAATAAGTGAAGGACTGCAAGATCTCCATCATGAAGTTTGACAGGAGATTGCATTCCAAAGAGAAATTCTAAGAAATTTAATTTCCCTATTTTGGGTATAGCCGGGTAGCTACTAGTTTAGAAAATACTTAGATGAGCTTAGACACTAAACTGGGAATGTATTTGTAAACTGTATAGCTGTAATTATCCTTTAACCTGGTGTGTCTTTCTCTTGTATGTTATCCTGTTTAGATATGGAAGAGAACAGCGGTGTTGCCATGTTGGTGCCAGATACCAGAGAACAGGAAGCTGTATTGGCTGCCAAAGGTGTCATCAGTCCTTCGTTGGAAGTTGATGAACAAAGAAAACTTAAAGCAGATCCATTAATCCATGTTATCCAGAAGTTAAGCAAGATAGTAGAGCACGAAAAGTCACAAAAATGTCTTCTAATTGGGAAAAAACGCTTGCGCTCAAGTGCTACAGCACACTGTTTTGAAACCCAAGAACTTTGTGAGATTCCAGCTAAAGTAACCCAGTCACCTGCTGTTGGTATTAGAAAGTCTGAGGTGTCACAAGCAAATTTTAACCCTGACTCTCTTGCCCAGAATGATGGGAAGGCTATGTCTTACCAGTGCGGCCTTTGTAAGTTTCTATCATCATCTTTTTCTGTGTTAAAAGACCACATTAAGCAGCACGGTCAGCAGAATGAAGTGGTATTTATATGCTCAGAGTGCCATGTTACGTCCAAAAGCCAAGAGGCACTTGAAGCTCATGTGGCACATGACCACAAAAATGATGCCAACAGTCACTCCCAATCCAAAGCCCAACAGCACATAAGCTCCTCCAACTCATTATGTCAGAGAACCACAGAAAGAAATACTGAAACCATTCCTGACACCCCAGTAAATGTGGACAGTCCACAGACTCATAACATCCAAACTACATCCATGGCAGAAATGGGTAGAAGAAAGTGGTATGCCTATGAACAATATGGTATGTATCGATGCTTATTTTGCAGTTACACTTGTGGCCAGCAGAGAATGTTAAAGACACATGCTTGGAAACATGCAGGACAAGTTGACTGCACCTATCCAATTTTTGAAAATGAAAATGAGCCCCTTGGCTTGCTGGATCCTTCAGTGTCTGCTGCACCTGGCGAGGTCGATGCAGTAGTTATTGCTATTGGAGACAGTGAACTGAGTATTCACAATGGGCCATCAGTACAAGTACAGATTTGCAGCTCAGAACCATTATCGTCTTCCTCTCCTTTAGAACAGACGGCAGAAGGTAGAGTACACCTCAGTCAATCAGTTACCTTTGAACCTAATGAGGAAGAAATACTAGAAGTTATGTCCGATTCAGAGGAGAATCTGATTGCTGACAGCCTACTTTCATCAGCACAGAAAATCATCAGCAGCAGCCCAAATAAAAAAGGTCATGTTAATGTGATAGTGGAGCGTTTACCAAGCGCTGAAGAAACTCTTTCACAGAAACAGTTCCTCATGAATGCTGAAATTGAAGAGGGCAAAAACCAGAACCCAACAGAAGTCCAGACTGAATGTGAAAGAACAGATGATATTTATCATGCTGATAAATGTACTGTTGATATCGGGGGCTTGATTATAGGCTGGAGCAATCCAGAGAAGGAAGACAGTGCGTTAATAAGTAAAGGCCTGGGTACTGACGAGAATGCTCCTCCAGGCAGAAGAAGGACAAATTCTGAATCTCTTAGGCTACACTCGTTAGCTGCAGAAGCCCTTGTCACAATGCCTATTAGAGCTGCAGAATTAACAAGAGCCAATCTTGGGCACTATGGGGATATAAACCTTTTAGATCCAGATACTGGACAAAAGCAAGTAGATAGTACATTGGCAGCATATTCAAAAATTATGTCGCCACTTAAAAACTCTTCAGATGGATTGACTAGTTTTAACCAAAGCAACTCTACCTTGGTAGCTCTCCCAGAGGGTAGACAGGAATTTTCAGATGGGCAAGTTAAGACAGGTATCAGCATGTCCTTGCTCACTGTTATTGAAAAATTGAGAGAAAGGACTGACCAGAATGCTTCAGATGATGACATTTTGAAAGAGTTGCAGGACAATGCCCAGTGCCAACCCAACAGTGATACAAGTTTGTTAGGGACCAATGTGGTAGAATACATCCCTAATGCTGAACGGCCCTACCGTTGCCGCCTGTGTCACTATACAAGTGGTAACAAGGGTTACATCAAGCAGCACTTGCGAGTCCATCGACAGAGACACCCATATCAGTGTCCTATCTGTGAGCACATAGCTGACAACAGCAAAGATTTGGAGGGCCACATGATCAACCACTGCAAAACAAAAATATACCAGTGTAAGCAGTGTGAAGAATCTTTTCCTTACAAGGTAAGCAATATTTCACAAAATGTTTCAGAGGATTTTAGATTCAGGAGGGAACTTGGCAGATATAGTGCAGACACCTCTTTTTGTAGATAAGAAAAATGAGTTCTGGTAAAATTTGATAATTTGCCCAAGGAAATCCCAGCTAATTAAAGTTGGGACTGAAATCTAGGCCTTGACTGAGAATTCTGTCCCATGACTGCTGCCTCCTTACTAGCCTTGATATTTACTGCTTTAGTATGTTAGTATGCATAACTCTGAAATTATTACCAGGCTTGGAGGCATGTGCTTTTAATCCCAACACTTGGGAGGCTGAGGCAGGAGGACTGCCCCACGTTTGAGGCCAGCCTGGGCTGCATAGTGAGTGAACTACATAGTGAGGCCCTGCCTTTTAAAAAAAAAAGTATTGATTTTCAGTCACGAGAATTTCAAGAGAAGGTATAGTAGATTGACATACTCAGGTTTAACTGTATATTATTAACAAAACACATATTTCTCATATGCCCCCAAAATTGTAGTTAGTCTTCTCAGCTGCTGTATAACCAGCAGTGATTTCTGTTATTCTATCAGGAGAAAAAATGGGCTGTATTGGATTTAGTAAAATAAAGCCACATAAGCTGTGTTTAGTGAGAAATCTAACAGACTTTGAAAGGTTATTCAAACTAATTCTGACTAAACCCAGCAGCCACTTTCAGTGAGGTTTATTTTGTAAAGGAACCTCACCTTCATTAAATCATAGGTTTAGAACTTTATCAGTGTGCGAGGTGACTTAAAAATTGTTTAAAATGTATCTTTGTTGGCTAACTAAAACATAGACATTTTTTTCTCAGATTACCCAGAATTGGGGCCCTAGGTGGTAGTAAAGAAAGGTAATCACCCTCATGAAATTCTGAGTAGTACATTCAAATAGGCTGCATAGGCCAGTTCCAGAAGTTTCTTTCTTTTGCTGCTGCTATAAGAAACAGCCACTGATTTGAGGGGTGAAATAGATAAAGATCTGTCCTTGGAGGAGCAGTTGACTTAACACATCTAGTTGATATTTAAAGGCAAAAAGTAGCAAGAGTCCAGTGGTTACTGATTGAATTTATTTTCATGGAAGTGTTATCCTGAGCACTGCTCTGTCTGAGGACTGGCCAGTGGTTGGTAAGCATGTACATGTTGTACGTTAAAAGCTTCTAACAAAGATGGCTTCCTTTCAGAGAATATAAGAGGAACTACCTTTTCGATGAGATTGTAGTTGTCCTACTATATTTCTTTCTGTAAATTGTCAAATATGTCAATGTTTTAGAGGATTTGATTTTTAAATACTGATAATATGTTCTAGATAGTAAGCCATGAAAGCAATTAAACCCTTTTTCCAGTTTCCTAGAAATTGAACATGTATATTTGTTAAAAATTACATAATAATTTTTCTCAATTTTTTTAGAGTAATCTGAGGAACCATGAGAGAGAGCACCACAGCCTTCCAGACACCTTGTCAATAGCAACTTCCAATGAGCCAAGAATTCTCAGTGATACATCTGATGGGAAGTGTGTTCAGGAAGGTATCTGCATTTTTAAATACAGCCTGCAGTGACTGACATATGCAGTGAAAAAATGCCCACGGTTGTCGTGTGAATTATTTTCATGACTAAACCATATATTCTCTTCTTTTACACTGTGGATGTCAGTGACTCTTAGCTTTGTTCTAAAGGAAATTCTGAGTACTAAATGCAGTAAATTTTTACTAGGTCCTAGTAAGTAGTACAATACTGTATTAGTAAGGACTAGGCTCCCACCATGCTGGTAGAAATTACAGTTCAAAATTACTGTCTCCTGTAAGTGCCAGAGTACAGCATAGACCCTTAGAAGGTGGCACACCGGCAAGCCAGAGAAGCTGCAGCATAGAAAGCAAGCCTTCTGCCTGTCGACCTACAGAGAACATAGCTTTTACAGACGGCAAACTGCCACCTCAAACTTTAACTGAGGCTTTTTGCTGCGATCTTATTCTTCAAGTATGACTGCCAGATTTCATCTGCATTCTTTGAAAAAACACACAGATCCTTTGATGTACTAGTTAGGTACCAGTCAGTTGAGTTTCTGGTAATAGGAATATTAGAATCAAAAGGCTTAATTAGAGTTCGTTGAAAATGTGGCTGCCACATTCGGAGAATTAGGAATAAAGTGTAATAAGCTGTGCTTCCTTGTACCAGCTCACTTAAACTGATAAGCTTTAAATGTCTCAAGTGTGGTACATAGTGTTTATGGGAAATAAAACATATTGGGGTGACTTTCCTTTTTAGATTTCCTAAGAATTAAAGTTTGAAACAACTGCAAAGTGAAATGTTTTACCATAATGTTTCATTAAATTATACCCCAGAAAGCATAACTGATTCTAGAATGTTTCTGAAAGAACTGAGTTTGACACCACTGTGGCACCAAAATTCCCCTGTCAAACAGATGTCATCCCTGTAAAACTATCCAAAACAAAAGGAGTTTATGACACGGCATCTGTTTCTGCAATAGATGGCGAAGCTAAAACAGTTTTCTTTCCTTTTTACGAAATAGTTCTGAATGCCTCCTTTTATTTTAATTCATTATGTTTCCATATCCCCTTTAAAGGAGACATTAAAGCATTAGAAATGATTGGATCTACATACCTAATGAAGGAATAAAGGGCTACTCAGTAGCACCATCTACAGTTAGTATGTGCTGGAATGTATCTTTTTCAGCGTCGTTTTAAAAAGCAAAATTTTTAAATTGTTCAATAGTTAACAGAGTAAAAACCACTAATTTCATTTGTTTTTGTTTTTGTTTTTGGTACTGGGGATTGAACTTGGGTCCTTGCGCTTGCAAGGCGGGCCACCAAACCACTGAGCTAAATCCCCGGCCCAATCACTATTTTAATTTTTAAAATTTCAGCTCAATTAAAATAATCATTCCAAACTTCACAGTATTAGCACCTGTCCACCATATTCTGCTTTGCTGCATGTATCTTTGTGGATTATGTTCTTGTTCTTAGGGTTAGATGAATAGATGTTAAATTGCTTACATGCATTTAGCCCCACTTGTCACTCTTTGCTATTTTATCATAGTAGTGTAACATTTTCAACAGCTGATCTCATCCTGTATATTTATACCTAGGTGGGAACTTTATTACTTCAGAATATTTTGAACTCTGGTTCACAGGACAAAGAACAGATTTTTAGCTCGTGAAGAAGGAAAAAAGTTCATGCTTTATTAAAACTTCTTTAACTACTTAGTAAACTTTTTAAACAAGAGGGGAGAGGTATGCCTTTGTAGCCCCCTGTCTTACTGTTATTACACTACAAATATCTGCAGGCATGCTTTCAACTCAGGTCCATCATAATTATATTCAGTCATTCATTCAGCCAAAAGGCCTTGCCGCATGCCTGTCTTGAGCTGGGTACTCTGCCAGGTACTGGGAAGTACAGTGAAGGGCATCACTACCCTTGAGGAACCCAGGGTAATGGAGAACTTAGAAGGAACTAATGCATTTGTCAGCAAACTCCATGGGTCTTCTAAGAAGAGCCATAGGCAAAGCACTCCCTCTTACGTGGTGTTTCCTCATGAAATTTAATTAATTGTCCTTTCTTGGAACCTACAGTTTGTCAAGCCCTAGGGTCTTCAGCATAAACAAAACAGGCAGATCCTTACCCTCAGAGAATCTACAGCTCAGTAATAAGGGCAAAGAGTTTACTTAGACAGGTAGGTAGTATACAACTTTGGTGAAGAAAAAATTTAAGACTTCCTAACCATGCTGTGAGGCTCTACTATTTCCATCTTGTAGATGATAAAACCGAGACTTCAAGGTAAAATAATTTATCCATGATCATATTAGTAGTAAATGGTACAGCAAGGACTAAGCCCAAGATTTTGAACTTTAAGTGTAGTCTTTCCATTGGAAACATTTGTTTGAAGTCGCACAGGCTCTCATTCTGTGCTATATTAAGTTTTTCCATCTGTCAGTTTTATTAGTTGTCATTGATCTGTAATGCTTCTCACACAGAACCATTATCCAATATTTCACACCTCATTTTTTCAGGGTTTTTTTAAAACTATATTTGGAACAGTGCCATTTATAATCAAGTCCAAGTTTTTAGCCTACCAATTAAGAGCAATACTTAGATAATTATGATTAGTGTTTATATTAATATTATAGATTTATACCAGGAAATGAGGACATTTTGTTCTGCCTGGCCGTGTTGTTAGCCAAGAAAAATTACAGTTTTAGAAAGCTTAAATTTAACTTAAGGATTTTCTTTGCTGAAATTTCATTGTGGGTTTTCTTTTGTACAACTAATTTTACTTTTACGTTTTGTGTACTAATACTCTTCCTAAGCTTTCTTCCTAACAAAGGACACACAGCTCTTCTGCTCCGCCTTATTTTTAAGCTTCTATGCTTGCCTTGTTTCTGGATATAAAGCAGTCAAGGTGGGAATAGCCATGGACTTTATGCCTGATAGAAGAATAGATAAAGCATTTAATATCTTCAGGAAACAGTTTCATATGATCAAGTCATTCATCTTGTATTGTCAGGCTTGAACACTCAGCCCTGTTACAAAATGAGTAACATTGCTTGTTCACATCAGATCCATGTTTTCCTGGAGAGCTGCATGCCGTATTCATAACCTTTGTTCCTGTAACTTGTTTTACTTGATAAAAATTATACTGCATTATACAGCACTTCGTAATTTGCAGTTGCTTTTCTTCCCATGTTGAGTTGGTAGCTGACATTAGTTACAAACCAAGGAAATCCACAGGGTGAAAAATGTCTATTTTTTTTATTGAGTTTTGCTATATGTGTTTCATAGCTGTACTTTATATTAGATTGTAGTATTAAATTATAGCTCATTGCCAAATCAGTGTTTCTTTAAGGCAGTATACCCAATATTAATCAGACTAACACCTTTCAAATTAGCAGTGTATCTCTGGTTAATTTAGCTGCCACACAATCAGCAGGGCAGCTGGAAGCAAGTTCATTATACTTGAGAATTTTGCACAAAGTATGCAGAAACCAGCCCAGCCTATCTATATTCACAGGTCAGATGATGTTCAGTTTATATTTGCTGATAGTCTAGGTGCCAGAGAATCTGTAAAGCCACTTCAAACTTGATAAATTTAAGCAGTGAGAAAGCCTTGATTGAAATGTTAATACTGTGTGGTATAAATATTAATTTACTATGGAATGTAAATGCTACATTTGAATGTTACCAACACAAGCTTCTAAAACTCTGAAATACCTTGTCTAGGAAATAAGTCTTCAACCCAGAAACAGTATAGATGTGACGTGTGCAATTATACAAGTACAACATATGTTGGTGTCAGAAACCACAGACGAATCCATAACTCTGATAAACCGTACAGGTAAGTAAGATAATCCTAGGATTTTAATGCTTATATTAAAATATTGGTAGTAAAGAAAGAAAATAGAAATAATTACAAATGCATAGCACTTGTTGAATTACAGGTTACCAGCTAACAAACTTGGACTTACTGGTCTCCCAAGCCTTGTTTAGTGTGCTCTAAGGAATGTTAACTTTAAGCTCAAGTCTCAATACCATAGGCATTTTTTCTAGGTGAAATGTAGGGAGATAATCTGTCAGCTAAATGTTTTCATCTAATTTGGGTATAAACTACAGTAGGTTTTGGTGGTTTAGAGTACATCTCAGTAATTTGGTGGTTAGGTTCTTTTATTCCAGCTAAGGGTCCTTAAAGCTAAAGGCAATAAAATTCCCTATAAAGGTTCTACTTGAAAATTAACCTATAATGGAACTATCATGTGTAGAATATGATTTTGTGAATTGATTTTTCACAAAGCTCATTCTAATTGCATTTAATGAAAATAGAGGCACTCTCAATCAGAATCAGCTGATAAATCATTATTTCTTAAGTAAACTTGGGCTTTTATGAATAAATAATCTGTTGTTAGTGTTTCCAGCACTGAGGATTGAACCCAGGGCCTTTGCACTAACCTACATCCCCAGCCCTTTATTTTTTGTTTTGAGACAAGGTCTCACTAAGTCACTGAGTTACCCAGCCTGGCCTGGAACTTCCAGTCCTTCTTCCTCAGCCCCCCGCCCCCCAGTGCTGAAATACAGTCTTGCTCCTCTTTGCCCAGCTTGTTGTTTATGCATAATAAAGTACAGATGTTTTGCAAAGAAATTACCCATCTGTCCTAGAGCAGTGTGTTCTACTTGCAGCCATAGTAGGACCTTGGGTTCCTACATCAGAGCTCACCTGGTCATTGTGACTGATAATTTTGGACCGTGGTCATGAACTTTTCAATCCCTTATCAAAACTTTTTTTCATGTTTTAACTCTTCTCAGGTTTTATAGGTATGACACAAATGAGTATGGGAAACTTGCTGTGTTAATTTAAATATAACCTAACAAACAGTATAAAAGTTCATTATGTGGCCTACAGTGTGGTGCTATCTCTATAACTATGTAAGGCTTTAAATATTTAGTATGTGCTTAATTTGCTAGCCAACAGACTTACTTGTAATCATGCTTCAGATAGTGCATCTGTTTATAGAGTCTTACACCTCTGTGGAAGGTGTTTGAACTTGCCTCGGTATTTGTAATTTTTATTTCAAGTACTCTCAAAATTAGGATCCCTAAGAAAGGTTTTTTTTTCCCCTAGAACATAATGAAGGCCATGATAATAGTTACGCGGTACTATAAATTCTAGGTAAGGAATGACAAGTAGGACTATCATTTATGTTTTATACTGGGAGTATTTAGTAGAACATAAGGGAAACGGATAGTCGTTTTCCTCAAATGAAGATAAGGCTTTGGCTATTTTAAGTGCCTTTATTCTTAAATTTAATGATATATTATGGTAAATTCATGTGTTTGGGCAGTAATGTTTTCTGGGCCTAACATTAGACTTCTCAGTCATTCATTGAGAAACATTGAGGAAATGTGTTCCAGGAACTGTTTTTGGACAATTCATAACACAGAAGGCCTCATCTTTTGCTGTTCATGGGCTTGGAACAAATACAGGTTGAGCATCCCAAAAATCCAGTGGTTGGAGATGTAGCTTAGTGACATAGCACTTGCTTGGCCTATACAGGATTTGATTTTGAGCACCACAAAAACAAAAACTATTTGAGTGCTGATACAATGCCACAAGTGGAAAATTCCATACCTGATTGCAAATGACAACTCACAACCAAAATGCAGATGCACTAAAATGACATTGTATAAATTACCTTCAAGCTCTGTGTATAAGGTATTATGAAATATAGATGAATGTTGTTTAGTCTTGGATCTCACCTCCAGGATATGTCATTGTGCATATTCCAAAATCTAAAAGAAAAATTCAAAATCTGAAATACCTCTAGTCCTATGCATTTTGGATAAGGGATACTTCACCTGTATGTAATTACGACAAATTTGTGAAAGAGGTTGATGATTTCTAATAGTACACTGGAGGGTTTCATGTCTACCGGATTATGCTAGTCTTACTGTGTAAGGACTTATTTTGATAGCTATTGGTATCTTAGAGATGTTTTCCTATGTGGGGATCAGTTATAGTTGTCCTAGGATCTTCCTGCCAATAGGAAACATCCTATGAGAATCCTCTTCATGTTGCATCTTAAAAATCTTTATTTGCTCACCTTCTGACTCTCCTTTTAGCCTCCTTTAAGTAGTTAAAATGCATATCTTTGTCTTCGTGACATATGCGGTCTACAGAGCACTGTGCATGAGCATGTTCTATTCCAGTATTGTTTCTAGAACTTAAGTCTGCACTGTCATATACTTTTTGTCAAAAATTGAGCTAGTAAGCATAGCCTCCTTGATGTCTGATCTAATTTAAGGATTACCATTTTTCTGGCTTATTTCATTCAGTGCTGTTACCTGGTACACTCATGAGCAGAGTTTGGTTTTGGTTTTCTCAGAGTCTATACATTATGCATTTCTGAGTCCCTATATTTTGTAAGGTGAATGTGATAGCCACTACACTACTGAAACCTCTAGTCCCTACATTTTGTTGAGAACTATGCTCACAAGTAGCAGTGGTGAGTTTCTGTTACCAGGTTTATAAGTAAGAATGTTTTCTTGAACAGCTGGTCTTTGTACAAGAGCATAAAACATGCTTTGTGTTCACTTATTATATAATAGATTTTTCAGTAATGTTGATATCTTTTCCTCTTTGGTGACTTTGCTTTCTATATTGCCATTCTAGTCTTTCACTGAACCTATTTGTGTGACCTGGGCACTTCAACTTCGTGCATAAGAAGGCAGTCTGGGGACAAACAGGGATGAAATCTTGGGATTAAATCTGAATCCTCTCATTTATGGAATTTGTAGCCTTGAACAAACTGCTTCACTGCTCTGTGCATGCTTTTGTTATTTATAAAGCAAGTATAATTAAGGTTGTGAGGATTATATGAAGTGCTATATAAAGTACTATCTTATAATAATCAGCCTGTAAATGATAGCTGTCTAGTAGCTATTGGACCCAGTCTTTCACCTCATCCCTTCTCAGTGATTCATTGGCTAACCAGAAAAAGAAACAATAAGAAAGGCTGTTGACCTCTCCTTGCTTGGAAAGCGAAGAGTAATCCTGTTCATGGTTGGGCAGGCATAGTTTATTTCACAAGTGAGATGTGCCCAGGTAGAAATGCTGTCACTGCTGGGGCTCTCCCTCTCCCAGTTTGCCTCCTTCTAAAACTATTTTTAAAACAGACTTTTTAATTGAAGTTAGCATACATCCTGAAAATTATATAAATCATAAATGTATAGCTTGGTGAATGATCATCAGTTCAACTCATGCTTTTAGTATAAACAATGTGAATCCCTCAGGAGCATCCCCTTCTTGGGCCTTCCAGTCAGTAACTAACCTCACTTCATTCTAATTACTGTTGTCTTGACTTCAAACATCATAAATTTTGCCTGTTTTTTAATTTAACAGAAATGGGATCATACAGCACATATTCTCTTTTATGTCTAGCATTTTTTACTCTGTGTGTGTGTTGTGTACATGTGTAATGTAGCTCTAATTCATTTCGTTGCTATATAGTATTCTATTCTAGACTATAATGCAATTTAGTCATTCTCTTATTGATAGACATTCAGGTTATTGCCAAATTTTCTTCCTGTTATGAATAATGCTACTTTGAACATTGTTTTATGTGCTTTGAGGTGCATATATAAAGTGAGTCCATTTCCATTGAATTTATACCTAGGAATAGAATTTCTGGGTAATTGGGCATACATACATGTATTAATCAGCTTTCTCATCCCTGAGACACAATACCCAACATCCACCATTTGTAGGAGGAGAGGTCTAATTTGCACAAGGTTTCGGTCCATGATTGGTTTCAGTTGGTGGCAGAGTGTAGCAAAGCAAAGCTCAGTTCAAGGAGGCCAGGCAGAACAGGGGAATAGCACCAGAGCAGAAGGGGAGAGGGATAGACATAGATCCCAAGGCCAGATCTCCTTGACCCACCCAGACACACCTTCAAGTTTGCTTCACCAATTTATGGGAAATATTCCAAAGCCAGTCTCATCAAAACTAACCATCACAATGCATGTTTAGTTGAGGTAGACATTGCCAAGTACCTGTACTAATTCATAGCCTCACTAACACTTGTGTTATCAGTCTTGATTATAGTCATTCCAGCATAGGTGTAGCGAGTGGGATGTTACTGTGGTTTGAATTTGCATTTTCCCAATTTATGAGGTTGAGCACTTTTTCATTTGTATGTGAAATATTGCCCATTTCTTTACTGGATATCTGCCCTAATGGATTGGCAAGAGTTGTTTATGAACTCTGAATATAAGTCCTTTGTTATATATATTGTCAATATCCTCTCCTATACTCTAGCTTGCCTTTTTACTCTCTTGGTGATTTAATGGACAGAAGTTTCTACTATTAATGTAGTTAACTTTATAATATTTATATTTAGAACTGTTATATATTTATATTCTGAAGTGGCTTTGATTTTTCTGGTAAGACTGATGACATAGAAGTAAAAATATACGTTGATTTTCAGAGATGGCACATTAACTCAGTCAAAAAATATTATGTGCTTAAGTAATAAGTGATTTTCTATGGCATAATAACTAAAATATATCCCCAACCCCCACCTCACCAAAAAAGAAAAAAAAACCTTCCAGAAAGTTGTTAAGCAAGGAAATGATATTTTTGGAATGACAGAGTTTCCTTTCACTATGGTCAGTCACTGTTTGGTCTTAATACAAATGTATTAGAAATAATAATTTGCTGGGTGTGGTTGCACATGCCTAAAATCTCTGCACTCTGTGAGGCTGAGGCAGGAGGATCACAAGTTTGAGCTCAGTCTCTGCAACTTAGTGAAACCCTGTCTTACCATAAAAATGTATAAAAGTTGTGGC